GGGGTGGGTGTGGTGGGGTTGGAGATGGGAAAGAGAAGAGAGAAGAGGGAAGAGGAAATGAAGGGGAGGGGAAACGTACGAGACAATGTAATTGATGGAATCCATCCACGACATACATTCCCTTCTCCACATCTCCAGGCATATCGCGACCGAGTGGCCAACCGCGATCAAGAGCCCATTTATGTGGTAAAGCTACGAATCCATTGATGACATATTGATCCCACGCCGAAGCGGCGATTGTATCGTTAGGAGAACTGAAATCGGTGTATGTGTGTACTTTTTGGTATGTTTGGTCTATGTTTGATAAAGTTACTTTGGTTGGTGTTAGTATGGTATAGTATGATAATGACAAGTAGTGGGACTGGTGGTGTGAGGATGTTATCTTACAAGATGTGGATGTGTGGGTGTTTTGTGTTTGTTTTAGTTGGGCTATGGTCATGAGGGTGAATACGCTGGCGCCGCTGATGATACTGATGAGGAGGAAGGAGAGGGCTAGGAGGATGTATTGTTTGGTGCTTATTGAAGAGGAGGAGTGGCGTTTGGAATGTGGGTTTGAATGGTCGTCGTTGGGGAGGAGACTTTGTTCGGAATCAGCTTTGGACCAACTCGTCGTCTCGGAGTCTTCATAGGAGGACATTATGGGCTTTTTTGGTCATGTGATGATGGTGTTGAGGTCTAGATATCTGAGCTAGAAGAAAAGGAAATCAAATAGGCGTAATCCTTAGAACAGAACAAGCGGTTGAGTAAACTCATAGATGTCAAAGGATAATTCAAGTCCGACGAGTGAAGGGTGATAAATTGCTGTGGTCCTGGATTCTGATTCTGATTCCGAATAGTGTGCTCTAGACAACTCTGCACGTTGGAGGTGAAGCTTCATTCAAATCTTTGAGCGACACAGTAGTAAAGCTTCAGCCCTCAACGAAGCCTTATGTCAAATACTACTGTGACCCGACGGAGGTACCGCGTAAGCTTACCGTGACATCTCCCGCCACATTGGCACCTGGGTCGAAGGCTGATTCCGACGGACGCTAAGAATTGGAGTGATATAGGGCCGATGGTATGTTGCACGACGTTTTATCTGCAGACTGGTTAATTTGTGTTTAGTTACTATTCTTGGATAGGTGGGATGCATGTCATGTCATGTCATGTCATGGATAGATGGAGTTTCAGGAGGTTACGCAGCTAGCTGCTAGGGCAAGCGCTTCGAGTTCTATTATAGAGAAATCGTGTTTCCCACCTGATAAATTTAAGTTTGCATAATCCCAGTAATCATTGTTGCATCAAGTGGGCACTATGTGATCATTGTAAAAGTTTCGGTGGTAGCTTACGAGATGCAGATAAGAAGTCACAAGTGCTGACGGTCAGACGCGGAGGTTTAGTCATTGCTTTAGATCGGCAGTACTAGTACTTCTCCTGCTCTCCTGCTCGTAATAGGGAATTTGGGATGAATAATGGGTTGTCACGGTACTTAGCTGTCTTCAAAGTCTCGATAAGCAGTTGGTATCTTTAAAACGTGACATTTGTAACTTTTTGGGGAATTCTAAGAAAGTGATGTTTATAGCAGGTTCTCGACATAAGATTTATCCGTGAGGCAGTATTTAATAAACTAAAATCTTCTACGATAAAGATAGTTTACTAGTGGTATATATCCCAAGCTCCAAAACAATATTCTCCGCAACGAGCGATTGCAGAATTACCAAAAAAGGAAATAAAGTCAGATATATCCATCACAACCCAAACTCAACAGAATCCAAAATTGCCAATGTGCACCTATCCCCAAGATCAGTGATCCACAATCAAACAACTCACAGAGTAAGATACACACCAATCACACAAACCCAAACCCAACACCTCACCAAAGCTCCGCAACATCATTCCCCCCATCCGCATTCGGAATCTCTACAGCTCCATTCCCCTTCTTCCACAACTCTGCTGTGTCCGTCGATCCATCTCCATTGGGAATCTCAACGGGAGCATTTCCCTTCTTCCACAATTCAGCTGTGTCGGAAGTGCCATCTGCGTTTGGGATGGAGACGGCGGCATTGCCTTTTTTCCACAGCTCGGCGGTATCGCTGGTGCCGTCTATGTTGGGGATTGAGACTGCTCCGTTGTTTGAGACTGGGTTTTGTGTTAGTATTGTGTGTATATTTATAGGGGAAGTTGGGGGATTATTTACCGGGCATGGCGTATGTACCGAGACTTAGAGATAGGATGATGATATTGATGAGATGCATTTTGAGGACAATAGAAGAGGTTTTAGAGAAGTGTCTTGATAGTTTGAAGAAAATCTCTTTGTTTTAGGATTACTCGTATAATGAGCGGCTTTTCGAATATTAGTAATCTGTGATGTGATATAGTGGAAGCTAGTGAAAATGGAAACACGAACTTCACCTCGGGCCATCGGATATAAGTAGATATATTTTAATCGCAGCCCCCCAGCTTACGGACTAACTCAGGAGTTAATCCCCTATAGTAATATGTCCGATGCTTAACAGCTGTATAAGACTTGTCGGAGCTGCGCCGCTCTTCTTTGGAAGTTCCAATAGGACTTCGCCGCCGCTTCGGGAATGGCAAGGTGACTCAACTCCAAGGTTTGCCATGGGTATGCTATTGAGTGATTCTTCATGTTGCTATGATCATCAGTCGCAAGAAGTCATGAGAATAATCTCCCATTTGCTACATACATCTTCCGTGCCTCGACCATACATTCATTACCCCGTCTCATAACCCGAATTAACTTTCTTCGTCTCTCCGCACAATATATTTATAGCCCAATTCCCTACACTTGTCCGTAAATAAACACCGTCCGACTTCACCACCTGCAAATAGATTGCAAGATCCCTAATCCATACCAATATACACCGATACATTATACATTTCGCACTCGCAACAATGCATTTGTATCTTCACAATTGGAACATCTTCCCGAACAAGAGCTGATACGCCACCGGCGCCTAAGATGGTAATGCCACGATGATAAATGACGTACCGGTACATCTATTATTTAAGCGGTGCTGTCACATAAAACTTGAGACGCCGTTCCCCATAAGTTCATGCGAGAGGTATTTTCCCCAACGAGTAATTCACTTGTACTCGTAGTTATACACCCAATCCCATCCGATGAATATCGCCGAGAATCTTGTTTGTGTGATGTGATATACTGTAACCGAAACCTTCTTTCAATCCCAGAACAAATACATAAACTCTAAACCTCGAAACCTCCAGACCTCCGCATTAAAGCTTATTCTCTTATTCTCTTCTGCACGGAAGTATCTGCAATAGTCCAAAATACGAATCCACCCACCAACCAGCAGCTTAGAGCCTATTCAACACAGTATCCCAGAATTATGACCCGCCATTTCATCACCTCACGTAAGAAGGCACAGCATTCTCCAGTCGCCGAGCAAGGTACCGGTATTAACATTTCTTCTATCCCATGTCGAGTATTTATTGCGCTCCGAAGAAAGTTTGTTCTGCCGAATCCCTATTACAGTATCTCGGTAGTTATTATTAATTTGCGACCCCCCCTAAGATGCGCTATCTACTCAAGTACCTAATATCACAATACAGGATAAGCAATTGCCGAGTGAACTAACTTTACGAGATATTTTCGATCTTGGAGGCGGGGGCTTACTGACTGACGGTAAGCTTAATCTCACGTCAGCAATGCTTTTGTTGGGAGATCATGTGTGGGATATATGTAGGTGGAAATTTGAGAATGAGATACCGGTACTAGTTCACGTAGGATTAGAAAATGCAGGAACGTTTAAAAAGTAAGGCTCAAAATTAAAACAAGCAGCATACCTGAGGCTGAGGCTAGTGAATATATCCCTAATTACACCATGCCAAGTTTCTATTCGCAATTCTCTAATTTGTACCCCCATCAGACCACCGTGACAGAATAAGTATCACTCTTCAAAATCCCATTATGACGCATATCCTGCATAAAATAATGTTCACCCAAACGATCAACACTCAACTGTTCTTCACACAAACCATGCGGATCCTTAAGTTTCGTACTACCCTCCTGGGGTTTTCTCCTCCCGGAGAACCTCGACGAGCCTTGCGAATGAATCGAGCGCAGGGAAAACAAACTTCGAATAGCTTCCGTCAGACTATTAAACGTGCCTAGACTACCAAATAAAGGTCTGAGTGTGGGTAGACAGGCGGCTACGATAGCCATTCCCATTTCGATTAGACTCCAGTAGAACCATGTAGATAGGAGGAGAATTCCCTGGGAGCCAGCGAAGGCGTCTGCGAGTCTTTGGTCGTAGACTACGAGACGCACGATGCCGAAGGCTACGGCTAAGGAACCCATGAGGAAGACGCCGCATACACCTACTTTTCGCTCCAAAGATAGGTTTAATTGCCAGACTATGGGGATGGGAATTAGAAGGATGAGGATATCTGTGACGACGTCGGAGATTGATAGCACTTTTTGGAATTTGACATCGTCGAGACAATGGGTTAATAGATCGTTGAGAGTCGACCAGAATGCCCAGAATTCGGTTCGACATTCAAACATCATGGTGAAGAAGAATCCAAATGTCCACACTATGACCACCCCGATCATTGTCCATGATGCAATGTCAAAGATCTTGCCTCGGAATATTCTTCTGTAGAAGAATAAAACTGAGAGTTTGACCGCTCCGAAAGCAATCATCTGTAGAAGATTGAAAGCATATTTAATCTATATAAGGTCGTGTTAGTTTTGGACTCTCCCACTTCACAGCGTAGATAGACATACCTTCTCAGTCGTGACAATAGCATCATTTAAAACATAAAAGAATCCGAGTGGACCGTCACCCAACGGTGTAGGTTGACCCAAAGCCTTCACTGCTGATCCTGTAGTTTCGAAGTTATTAGACAACCAATTCGAAATAAACTGACATAAACATTTACTCACCGACGATGAGCGTGATACCCAACGCACAACAAATGACGAGAGCTACAAGTATGAGCCAGTCATCCAATCCAACCGTTCTCTTCTTTATCTTGACATAGAATCGAAGCGACACAGCAATCAACGCCAAGCTGGGCATGACAGCCCCAACCGCAATGATGGACGAGGTTGTCACAGGTTTGAAGGTAGCCACCAAAGCATCGATGTCCGGCGGCCCAGCAGCTAGATCTGACATCTTTGACGATATGAAAAAGTAGGTCTGGCAGTCAAGAGAAACGAGACTCGATTGAAAGCGGAGCAAAGTGCTAGATGCCTAGAGAAAAGATTCTAGTGACGTGAGAATAAGAAAAAATTGACCAACACTTGCTTAGCAAGGGAAGGGAGAAGGTTTATTTTCTCCAGATACTTGGGCTTACTAGAAAGCCCTGAAATGTTGCCACAATGGTGCAGAAATGACTGTGCCTTATCATTCGTTATAATTGCTAGGTATGCGTGTAACGCACCAAGTAAGCAAAGATGTTCAGGGCCATAATAGTGGCGGATGAGAGTTGAAAGTGGGATTGTCTAGGCTTGATTAAACAAATATCAATATCTGACAATATGTTTTGAAGCAGAATGTGAGATTTCAGAAAAAGATCTTTGGTTTTGAATACAGTATACTCAAATACTCAAATACTCAACTTCTTTCAAGTAATTTTTCCGCATTTTACTTTATGATGGCACCACAAGAACCTGAATATACTCCTTTGGATGAAGAAAACTACGCCGAGAAACCGAAACTCTCCGGTCGAATACCATTTTCGAATTCCATGAAAGACATCGTGATCGTTCTCCTTGCACTATCGACTGCCATATCCTCCATCAGCGCTTTCAACCAAAAATATGTCCCGATTCCAGAAAGTTTTGGCTACCGTGAGTTCTCCCAAATGTACAATTGAATCACCACTGACAGTTTCCATCCAGCTGCTCTCGATTTAACATCTGGAATGCACATCCAGAATTACACATGGTGGTCAGGCTATAGTGCTGCTTCGCACCCAACACAGCAATCTGTGGACCAGCTATGGGAAGAAATCATACCTGCACATGGGATTGTAGCCGTGGATCACACATGGGCATCTTCAAAAGAGCTACCGCAAACAATCAGTCTTCCGGATGACCCCAGCAAGGGAGTTTACGTGATCGATGCTTACCATCAGCTTCACTGCCTCGTAAGCTTTCTCTTCCCATTCCAAATCATACGATCATTTCTCTGATTGGACCGTAGAAAATTGTCCGGAAAACCTTTTTCGAACTGTCGAGGGGTGCACAATTGACATACCCAATTGGACATTCGACGCACTGCTTTGATAACTTCAGACAATATATTCAATGCACGGCAGGGGATACTTTACTTTATTCCTGGGGTTTGAATACGACGGGGGATGGTCAGCTTCGGAAATGTAGGGATTGGAGTGCGCTTAGTGATTGGGCGGGTAAGCACTCTGCATGTTATCGTGACGGGGAGCCAAGTAGTCTTCTGGATCATTTTGGTCATTGTGAGGTTGCAGGGACCGATGGGTTGAAGGCATAAGATCTTACTGGATGTCACGGTATGATGTGGTATAATTCGCTATCGGAAGACAGACATTGTATTGCCAAGTGAATAGAAGCAGACAATGAGACATTTGTATAGATGGTTTACTGGCTTTTGTTGCAGATCTATATATCTTTTTCAATTGATATAACTGTATAAATGCGTATGTGCGGCACATGTCTGATAGTTATACAAAAAGTACCGAAATAGAAGATATACCCAGCCAATAAGAAGATAAGGTCCGATAACAAACAAACAGACCTACTAACCTTACTTCCTAAACGTGGAGTTGATGCCAACAACAGACTTCACAGCTTTCAAGTATTCTCCCTCGAATATTTCCAACACGATATGGCAGTTGTAGAAATTATCATCAGTCTCGTCCTTGCACAGATCATTTACGTATCTATTTGGAGACTCTTCCTCAGTCCCATTTCGCACATCCCGGGTCCCCGTCTGGCAGCTCTTACTTCATGGTATGAATTTTACTATGATGTAATTAAGCCGGGTCAATTTGTATGGCACATAAAAGATCTCCACGAGAAATATGGTATGTACCAAACTGATCAAACTATGAAGTTGAAGCAAACAAATCTTAATCAACTCATCCTCAGGTCCAATCGTGCGAGTCACACCATGGGAAATCCATATCAAAGATGTCACATTTCTTGACGAAATATATGCTCCAGCATCTCGCAATCGAGAGAAATATTCATTTCAAACAAGAACGTTAAAAGTGCCTTTGTCGATAGGAGGTACTATACAAAATGATCTGCATCGAAGACGTCGAGAAGCACTCAATCCATTCTTCAACAAGAAGAGTGTTTCGAATTTTGAGTCCGTACTCAGAGAGAAAGTCGAAAAATTAGTTGAAGTGATTGCGGTCCACGAAACCACGCAGACACCTGTGAATTTACTTGATGTGTATTTCGCGTTTGCCAATGAGTTTGTGAATCCTCAGTCTAATTTGGAGTATTGCATGCTAAGAGGAATCTAGTGTTGTTTCGTATTACAGTTTTGGACATGACAACAATCTTCTCGGGAACGAAGAGAAAGCCTCCACTCAACGAAATAATATATCGAGATTATTGATGGGGGTAAAATTTAACCAACATTTCCCATGGCTGTTTGATCTTCTGGATATGATTCCGTTTCCCATAGCAAAGCATATCATGCCTCCAGGTGCTCTGGATATGGTAGCTTTTACCGATGTAAGTTTCCTTCTATGATCTTGTCATTTTTCATCCTCTGACGAACATCTAGAGTATTCGAGAAGAAGTTGATCAAGTCCTGGGAGATACGGACAATATTCTCAAAGGCGATAGGCGCTCTATATTTTATGAGCTTCGTGATAATCCAAGTCTACCACCAACCGAGAAGAGTGCATTGCGTCTTGAGCACGAGGCAACTTTGATTGTTATGGCAGGTATGCATTGTTACGCGATTGAAATCCACATGACATACAAATAACATTAACATATAGGCACCGAATCTACGGCAAAATCAATTGCCATTGCACATTTCCATCTCCTCAGTAGTCCCGAATGCATGGCAAAGCTTCGGGCTGAACTACACACAGTACCCGAATCAGCATCATGGTCACAACTGGAACAGTTACCATATCTCAGCGGATGCATAGCAGAAGGCAACAGATTATCATTTGGGGTCACCGCACGCGTATGTCGCATTGCGCCCGATGAAACACTACATTACAAACAACACGCGATTCCACCCGGAACACCCATTAGTCAAACCACCCTCGTCGTGCACACCGACGAGAATATTTTTCCCGATCCATGGGCGTTCAAGCCGGAACGATGGATGGGACCCGAAGGTGTGGAGCGCAAGAAATATCAGATGGCGTTTAATAAGGGGGCTAGAAATTGTATTGGTATTAATTTGGCACATGCGGAAATGTTCTTAGCTTTGGCTGCGGTGGCGAGATTTGATATGACGCTTTATGAGACGGATCTTCGTGATGTGCAGTTCACGCATGATTTTCATGTCGCGTATCCTAGTCGGCTGGAGACAAAGGGTGTTCAGGCGAAAGTCTATGGGAAGAATATGTAATGTATGAAGTTATATGACGGGTTCCTTTTGCGTTGAAGGGCTGGGCTGTGCTGTTGGAGCTTTGAGATACAAATTGAAGGTCACGCTATCAATCTCTCCAATAGATAGTACTAACGCCTCGTAGACTCAAAGCCTGTAAAGATTACAACTCTATTCAAAACCCCCGGTTCCAAGTGAAATTCGTAACTAGATTTTGTTATTCCCAATCATACTCCTGTCAAACGCATCAACAATAACAACAACCTCTAGCTGGTTCCAGGCGGGGTCTTTGCTTCGGTAGACCGAAAACGATTATCAAATAAAATCCATAGACGACTTGTTCCTTTGCACAAACTGTTGATGGAAGACATCTTTAAGTTGTTAATGAAGGCTAGATTAGAAAAAGCCAACTCCCTCCCTGAGTAAGAACTTCCGTCGCCATTTCCATTTCCATTTCCCAGAGCCACAATGGAATTCTCCAGCCCTGAATATATGTAGCTCCTTAAAACATTCCGTCGTGGTGCTGAAGTTTATGTTCCAACCGTCCCTGATGAATAGAGCTAGGTAATATCTCGACTCTCGTCAGTTGGTCTTGTTTCATGGAGAATACAAATGTCAACAGTGTTTCTGAAAAACCGGCTAGCATTTCCCTGTAGGTCTCCGGGCCTGGCGATGGGATAGAGCGTGACATTTGTAAAATGGATGGCGGCCTTCAGGATCATGCTCTGTCTTTCACTTGATGATTGTTCTCTAGACCAAGGCTTCCCTTTCCGTGACAGCTATGATTTCATGTCTACTTTCTCGATTGACATGAATGAAATACAGCATCCGCGGGATATTGTTTCTTGGTATGAATACTCGAGTACTTTCCACAGATATATCTAGCTCCATGATGCGGCCATACTCAGAAGCTTATAGATGCCGGGTTTTCGTCGAAGCTCGATGGAGACTCTTGGAAAAGGGATGATGTTTCCGGGTAGAGTAGAAGCGAAACGATAACGTAGAAAGCGTGATTAGAGATGGGAATTAATGAGAATGGGTGGCTTTGATTGCTTAACCTGATCATTCACAATCCAGGGACGTTTAACAAGACCATTTGCACCGCCTAGTTATTTTCTGTGCGAATATGCTGAGACGAGTTAGGTTTCCTATTCCTTAACAAACGGTAAAGATGACCTACCCATCCTTATCAACGAACATGGCGAGCTCCTCCCTCAACAAATCATTGCTGGTATACTCGAACTTGAGTTTATAGTTTATCCGCCTGACAGTTTTCATCTGACTTAAGAGTATATGAATCGGAACAATAACAGATCCTATTTTTGGCTCAGAGGTGGAAAGATTGTAGTCGACGTTATAGTTGTATATTCAATCAATTGGGGAAACTTTTCCTTCTTATGATGTTGCCGTACTGTATTCCTCAATGTGCTCAGCAGAGAGACAGCTCATAGAATATAGCACGAATAGTCGGAAGTATATATATAATATCTCAGATGCTTCATGTGCATTACTGTAACGTTGGATGTAAGATTAGCTTCGGTACTGCTCAATCGTGGGTCACACAATGTGCAAAGGGATCATAGTGATCATCGTGATTATCGTGACCATGTTGATCATACTCACCTAGTTTCCGTCTTATACTCGTAATAACTGGATGATTATGCTTTCAAAATTGATTTTTGGTCGACGATGAGATAAGGACTTAATAGATACCCACATTAAGAACAATAACCTCAATGCAGTTTCACAAACCAAGAAGATTGGTGTCACCACTTCAAAAATGACATCATTGCAACAAACATTATGTATGCACCTTCAAGCCTTCCCATTCCGTCCTACCTCAAAACCTCAACATCTCAACAACCTCAACCCACCGTAATCCCAACTCTCTTCCCCTAACAACCTCAATCGTGCCAATATTCAAACTCCTCAACACCACCAACAAACCAACCAGACACCACCATCAAAAATGGGCATCTTCGCCGCAATCCTCGGTCTCATCGGCTCTGGTCAAATCGCCTTTACAGGCTATAATCTATACCTCTCCTCCATCGCCATCCCCAAGCTCCTTTCCTACGAAGACAAAGCCATCAGCGCTGCCAAATATTCAAATATTGCCGAGAATCAACTATTCAAAACAAGGAGTACGCAAGCAGCCAGTGTTGGAGCTGTACGTCTTCATCCTCACATCCTCACATCCTTACACCCATTCCCCAATCCCATCACAGCTAACCTAACCTAACCTCTCTCTTACTTATTAGCTCCTCCTAACCCTCATAACCGCTACCCCTTTTCTTCTATTCCCATATGCAGGTAGTGTGATATTCGCCCTCGCGTTGGTGAATATAGCGGTTTTGCTTGTGGCGAGAGAATATGTGGGGGATTTTTGGAAGGGGAAGACGAAATTGCCAATTCCTGGGACGGGCGATTTTAATGATGCGATTGGGTTGACGAATGAGGTGAGGGAGAATCAATTGTTTTTGGCGATGAGTTGGGGGGTTTATGGGGTGGTGGGGTTGTTGGCGTAGGAGGGGGGGTGGGGATATTGGGGTTGTGGGGGAGGTGGGAGATGGGAGATGGGAGATGGGAGATGGGAGATGGGAGATGGGAGATGGGAATTGGATGGCCGGATATGGGTAGCAAAGTGAAGGATCAAGGCTAGATGAAAATTGGAGTCCGGATGAATATATATATACCAATATATATGGACAGGCATCGGGATATTGTTACTTCGCTGAGCATGGATTTTTATCAATTCGACTACAAAACTGTATGAGAAATAGGAGTATAAAAGTATCTAATACATCAAAGTCCCCACGAGAGGCAAGTTTTGAACGCATCCCATTTTTCTTATACAAAGCTTAATAAGAATTCTACACACAGAATCGGTATAATATACTCGTATATACTTCACAGTAAATTATTCTTCATGATTATCCATCCATCCCCCTCAAACTAAACAGCACATCCTTATATCATTATCATCAATCAGTAACAAATAACATTCCAAGCCCAAACCCAAACACGTGCTCCATTCACTTCATCCTCTTATAATATAAATACCTATCTACTACTCGTACCTCCTACCCTACAGTACTCAATACAATAATTCACCTACTAGCTCATGACCACCTAACTCAACTCAACTCAACTCAATATCAGGATAATATATGAGTACGGTACACGAGTATACACTCTACCTACTGAGAGTTCCTGGTGACTCAGGCTTGGAGTTTGAACTCTTTTTTATTATTGTTGTAAGATACTACAGATAGTTTAAAGAGTATGGATACCTATTCATCAGCGTTAGGAGATTAGGCGAGGGTTTAATGATTGTTAAAACAGCGGATCTTTGTTTGATTTATTGGAATGTGATTGAAATAGGTTGGCTACTCTCTAATTCTAATAAACCTTCCAAGTACTCGAGTATTCTCTCTCCTTATTAACCCCCGCCTACCGACTACAAATTACCAAACCCCAACCCTATCCCTCACAGCTCCCCACCCTCTTTTCCTCACCCCAAAAACCCCGTACACTCCAAAATCCCCACATTCCCCGTCCCCCAACTCAACTCCCTCACCTTCCGCAAGCCCTCCAACTCCGCCTCATACTTCCCCTTAATAAAGCTCCAACTATCCGGGCCCACCGGGACCCTCAAACCCAATTCCCCCCTCCTCTCCAACCTCGTCGCTTCCAATATCACCTGCGCCACTTTCTCCGCATCCGCCATCTGTTCCGCAAACGCCTCATTCTCAAAAAATGCCTCGAGTTGTCGGGTGCCACATGAAGGATCGGTGTATGCGGGATGCGCGGGGAGTTTGACGAGGGAGCTGCTGTAGTTGGTTTTGACTCCGCCGGGCTCGATGATTAGGAAGCGGATGTTCCAGGATTTGGGGATTTCGTGGTACAGGGATTCGGTGAAGCCTTCGAGGGCGAATTTACTGGGGGGGGAGGGTGTTAGTTTGTTCTTTTTCATGATCTCTTACTATGTGAGATATTAGAAGTGGAAATGTGGATGAATCTTACCTGGCATGATAATAAGATTGCCCCGCAAAAGCCATCACACCACCCATCGTACTAATCTGCATAATCAACCCACCCTTTTCCCCATTAACGTCGCGGAAAATCTTAACAGCTTCATTGGTTAAATGGACGGCGCCCCAGAAATTCGTCTCCAAGATTTTGCGAGCGGTTTCTTCGGGGATGATTTCGGTGTCGCCGAGGACGCCGTAGCCGGCGTTGTTGACGATGATATCGATGTGTTTAAAGGTGGAGAGACTAGTGGATAGGGCTGCAGTGATGGATGCTTGGGAAGTGACATCGAGGGCGAGAGGGAGAACACGAGGGGATTGGGGGAGGAAGGACAAGGAGGAGGGATTGCGGGCTGTGACTATGAGGGTGTGGGTGGTTGTGTTGAAGATTTCTTGGGCGAGAGATTTTCCGATGCCGGATGAACAACCGGTGACTTTGGGGGATGTTAGTTGAGGGTTTTGAGGATGGGGGAGAGATGAGAGGGGAACTTACTAAACCACACTGTATCAGCGGGTAAGTTTGCATCGATTTGAATATTGGAAGACATGGTTCTCGTTGTTGAACGAAGGCTAATTTATCTCGTCTAATTAAATCTGCTGTGAAAGGGGTATAGCATTTAAGTACAATTTTGATGCTGTGAAGAGTGTGTATAAAGAGGAAGAGGAAGAAGCTTGAATGCTATGGAATAAAATCTTCATATCTACCAGATACAAGAGACTTTATATACTCTTTTCCCAAAAATAACATCCTACCGTCAAACAATGACGACCTTCATTATCTTTCACGACTTTCCGCGTTCACTGCACACTGCTGACAGACAAATCGGGCGCAAATGCGGCCGCTTTTCGCATTGCGTGGTGGAATGCGGACGCGACTTTTGTCATCACAGGGGAAACAACCAATCAGAAACCAGAAACCTCAATCTAGATCTCAAAGTGGATTGAAAACCGCTGAATAAGTCATGCAATGTCAGCACCACTTCGCAAGTCGTCCGCCGTTAAATTCGGCCGGATCTCCGCGTGCCTCTGTTCGTGACGATATATTTTCCTTGAAAGTGTTCTGGAAAGGAGCACACCAGGTACTTGATGGATATTCGGCAAGTGTTTTATCTTGGTATTCGATCAAATATCTCAATCCTTTCCCTTTGTAGAAGGTTTGGTGCGTTCTCACAAGATACCACCACATTTTATCATCGTACTGAGAAATGCCCGACGCAATTTCTATTCATGGAACACAGGGGGGAGGGGAGGCTCCTTAGATGTGAAAATCGATCAGACGGCCAAGTAGTCGCGCTTGAGAACGTTCGATAATCCTTGTGATAAGGATACAAGTGTGTGTTAATCGTGTCGTTGCCATTTCTAAAATTAATTGGGAGTATCACAATTACTGGGGAGGTACTACTTACATCGACTTCAGAGGAAAGCAACGATAAGAAAATCAATATCAGTCCATACCTAGTTCATGGACTGATGTTTGCACAAGAAAGGCGCAGTGCACAAGAGCTTAAGGGTTCCTGTTACTAGACTACATGGAGAAGGTCAGATGAAATTGTGTATACCTCATAAATATTTTTTCTTGAGAAGATGGATGGCAGAAGAGTGTTTGATACGAATCTTAGGATTTCAGTTTATTGTCTTGTAAGGAGTTGAGGTTAGCAATATTGATGAGAAATGGAAATATGAACCAGTATGCATTCAAGAATGAATATGGGATCAGTTATGGGAATTTGATACACAGCACATCCATGGTTCAATATTGAATAGGCAATTTGAAAGCCTCAAACCAGTTCAATTGTACCAAGCTGCTATGGCAATCATAACATATATTGAAAGTAGTAAAACACCTTGTAGACTATATTCAGTCAGTAACGTCAAGAAAGTAATTCAGATGTACCTACTAATTACTCTTCCCCTCTGCAATAAGGAAATTAAAAAGTAAAACCGCCATGAACGACGAAGCCACCTGAAATCCATCAAACAACAACCCCATATCATCGATACCCCAAATCCAAGCGATGATTACGATGAGAGGTGTGATTAGTAAGGAAGTCTGAAGGGATTTGCCGGCCGATGCCATAATGCTCAAGTCTAATTTGTCCATGCGTGCACATGTAATTGGCATGAGATCGTTATTGAGCAAAGGGAGGAGAATTAGGCCAACAAAACTGGGCGAGGCGTGATGTGCTGTCAAGCCATCGATACTGTCGATAGCGAAAGTAGTGTTGAAGGCGAGAACGATTGTTCCGATTATGAGCGTAATTAAACCGATCGGCAGAGATAAATGGGGATCTTCTTTCTCGTCTATTGAGGACACGATTGATGGAGGAGAGGTTCGAATTTGAGTAACTACGCCCTCTCCGGCAACACTGGTTTTTGGTACATTGTTGGTGGACTTGATCAAGTCAGCACTTATCAAACCGGTTGAGAGTTCTGAGATTACCATATTGACTTCTAGATTAAAGACATGTGCATGTGTTTTCAGCTGAAAAAATAGATAAATGCCATACACAAACAAAAGCACGATCGAAGTTCCTCGAGATTGTGCTGCGATTTTCTCCGTATCTGAATTGGCAAAAACATGAGATGCCGTTGGAATGATCAAGCTAGCCACAGATAATGTTAAAAAATTGGCAACGTAGCTTGCAGAATTTACATTGAAGAACTGCTCCAGTCGATAGATTCCACCCGCGAAACAACTTGCTCCCATTATCAACAGAACTCCACCAAGAATTCCCCCAACTAGTGAAGTCTTCAAAATCTCCACTTGGTGAGTCTTAAGTAGAAGGATTGAAGTGCCTAGTTGCACGATATTTCCGAAAGTCATATAAATTAACACATCAACAGTGTTTCCAACACGCAGCATCACTTCGTCCATAGCCATACCAACAATAGAAGCACTTGGAAAGATAGCGAGGAAATTTAGTATAAAATTGACGACCAGTGGTAAATTGGTATAATTTGAAGCGAATCCTGCTAGCACAAAGGGGAGAAGAAGCGACAACCATGACGAGCAGAAAATTGCCACTATTTGCTTGACCAACTGTACAGATAGTGATGTGCGTATTCTCGCATGCTCACTTCCTGTGTCGATTTCACTAATTCTTGGATTGGCTGCGGGTATGGAATGTGGGAAACGGTACCGGGTATGTTGCTCTCCGACGATAGAGCTTGTGATTTTTTCAGTATCTAAAGCACCAGCGGACTGTGGCCTGGCAACATTCTCCCCTTTGGTTGGTATGGGGAATAAAGACTCCGCGTCTGGAGAAATCTTAACGATTTCAGTGTCCGAGTGTGTATGGACTGCTTCTATGCGTGCGTCACTCTCTACCCTTCCAGATTCCACATCCCTCCCTCCGCGATCGTATATATTGGACCCAGTGTCGGCCCATCGTCTGCCTCGTAGAAATGGGTTCCAGCCAGGAATTTCATCATCGCGTTCGGCGGAAATTCTCGCACTTCGAGCTCTGAGACGAACGTTGTCTACGCATACATGTTAAAGCTGTGATACTTAACAAATGTTTCATAACTCACTCATTTTGCTAGTTGATATACTGCCAGTGTCCTGAAATTTCGTGAAGAAATCAAGATGTCCATGGATTCTTCATAAGGCGTTTGTACCTATATTCAAGACATCAAATCAGGATCAGCCTCACGCGCCGTAGTCGCATGGGTGGTCTCAGTCGCAATTGTGTGTCACCCATCATGGTATTCAGTCTCGGCATATGTGCTATTACCGGTAGAAATCATGAATGTATTTGTTGTCGCAGACAGTCACTCACTTATAAAATATGGAAGGTATTGAGAGCTTCTGAAGACTCTAAGCTCAGGTACGGGTGGGATGAAATCCCACTATATCCCCACATAACCTTACCCCTTGTAGAACCACTAGCTTTCATGCTAACACAAACTTTAAACCCCAACATCCACATGTTCAGTTTCTACACATACATTTCTTGTGTCTACCTACATGGAGTATTTGTGGGCATCAGATGAGGTATCTGGTGCTCAGAGTGAGCTCAGTCAGCAAGCTCAACTCGACCATGCAGATACTCTACGGAGAATAAGAGTATGTACTTGAGTAAGGTTAGCGTTTAGGCATAATGGCCGTTTTGTCATATTCCCAAGCACCATCTACATCTATTTCACAAGAAAACTTTATTTCTATTGAGATGTCGGGAATACTGTAGTAGTATAATTCGATGATCAGAATGAAATCATTTCCGAGAAGCCAGGTAGTGGATGGGTGGCTGTCACTGGCTTAGTACGAGAGGAACCGCTGGCTTGGAGGATTGCGTTCTGAGGGTTGGTTCTCGACTGAAATCTGAAGTCTGAAGGCTGAAGCACTTGCAGTCCCACTCTCTCATTCAATTGCTGTGCATCTCAACTTCCGAGGTAATAATCCAAGTGAATGATTCTTCCACGACAGTCTCCATCTATATGCGAGGCAGCTGAGCATTGCTATTGCGATGAAGTGCGAAGTGATGTCATTGGGAGCCCAAATACTTGTATCCACAAAGGAGATCTTGAATTGAATGAGACGACGAACATACCGAATCTCTGATGGTCAATCTTATCTCATTTTGATACATTCACCGTTGTTCATTTCCAAAGCCCTATGGCATAGCCACGGAAAAAGGTGGCACAAATTTCCAAGGACTGCGGAAATTAATGACCTGTAAAATGAGGCTTTTGATCTCGCGGCGGTGATTGACGATATCATACGGTAATTTCTTATAAACACTCTTGATAGGTCAGAATATTATCAACAACCTCACCTTCATTCACTTGATCACTAGCGCTAAGCCCCGCAATCACGCCGCTCTCTTGTTTATTAACTTCTGAAATTTCCCACCTGTCTTCGTTTTTTCTATCATCCACAACCTCAACACCAAATCTACAATACCACCTTCGTTTATCAATCAACACAATAAACCTCAATTCTCTATTCAAATACACATTCATACTAAATACTAGCCATCATGTCTGTCATTCAGAGATTCCAAATCATATTCGCGCTTCTATTCCTCGCGTTCATCCTCCCCATCAATGCTTACCTCGGCGAGAGCGGTGGTCAAGTTGTTCGTGGTCTTGAATGGTCTAGTGAGTCCACTTTCTGCAGTAAGTCCCCCATCATTATCCTTCTGAGAAACTGCGAGAATTGATTTCTCACGTAAGATATTTTAGCCGATGTGTCCTCTGGTCCAGTAGAGACCATCGTCCCCACAACCGTTCCTGCCTATGCTTCTACGACTAAACCAACTCCCTACACATCTTCTGCCTCCGAGACTAAACCTTCCGCCTACACATCCTCTTACCCCATCTCGTCCCTCGTCCCAACCACCACCTCAATCGCTGTAACCACCCAAACCACCACTTCAAGCTCCGATATTGTAACTCTCACCCCACTTTACCCCACCACTTCCGCTCCGGCTTCCTCCTCTACTTCCTGTTCTGAGAGTTCTAGTCCATACACTAGCACTACTACAATTCCATCTACAACACTCACCACCACCACCTCCGTTCCTTCTCCCTTGTCTTATTCTTCAACCAAGACTTCAACCAAGAGTTCGGTATCAGCATACACAACCCAAACCCCATCTGCTACTACCAGCAGCCCTGCCATCCAAACTGGTGAAGCCATGAAGATCAATCAGCTTTCAAGTGGTTTGATGGCGGTTGGCTTCGCAGCTGCATACTTTGTCATCTAAAGCGATGATACCATGCCATGAGTTACGATATGGGGGAATATTTCATTTGCCTTTTTGGTGGAGGATTTAATAACCATTCGGAACAAACTGGAGGAGATTTTCATCAGCATTACGATAGTGAGATAAAGGCATGAGTGACGTATCTAAGGAACGTTCGTTTCATTTACTTTCTCGGTGGAGGAGATGATATTGATGGGGCTTCGGGACAAAAAGATTCATTTGAGAACATTGTGTATAATAAATAGCCTTGCTACAGATGGGATTTTCTAAGGAGACATTACTTTGGTTTTGTATCCTTCGATCCTCATTTGTTCCAAGGTCTATATCGCGCATTGGTTCTTTGGTGATAATGAATACATTTGTTTACCTGATTTGACCCATATCGATTGCTATGCGTGAATTTGAAGTGTGAAATTACAGAACCGAACTCCACACAACAGAAACAAATCCCTGTAATTTTGCAATCTTCCCCTCCTGTCACCTTTGAATATGCTTCTTGAAACAGCTCCTCGATAGCTTCCTATTATGTATGCATCACCGGACTCGTCTCACTTAATCTATATGCCCGGCGCTCTCTCTCCAACTCCTTGTATCATGTGAATCATGTATCATGTGAATTAACTTCCTTCCCGGTGTGGTATGACCCTCACCACAGTACATCTCAGACTTGTGGTATCATACTCGACCATTGATGGATTCTTCGCCACATGGAGTTTTATTATTGGGGGTGGGTGCGATATATGTATATTTGTATTTGTATTTGTATGTGTAACCTTGAATTCTCTGAGCCAGGAAAAGAAAAGTAGAGATTACAAATGTGGACATAACATAACATAACCGTAGTATAAATCCCGAGGTAGCAAGAGCGGAGGATGAAGCATCGGAGACCTGGGGTATTAGTATCATTATATCAAGATACAAGTAGTAAAACAGATACTCGACATTAGAATTAGAGGACCCTGGGAATGGAACAATAGCTATAGTGCATTTTCATATTGATGGCGTATCAATGATGTAACTTTGCACTAATATAAATGATGTCTTATACTTTCTCAAATTTACAATTTGGACTCGCCCTTGTCCCATACGGGCAAATCCAGTTCCGTTGTGCAAAGAATGAATGTATCCTTCAAACTTCCCACCCTATATTTGTGATTGACTTCCTGATAATCTTCACTAGCCAACATATCTGCAAAGTGTTCAATACTTGGATAATGCGCCAACGCAACCTCATCCCATTCACCCCTTTCTTTCGACTCCCCCTCATGTATCACCGTACCAACAATCTTCGCAATGCCACCTCGTTTCGACCCAATAGATTTTGCAAATGCGGCGCCATATTTCAGGTATTCTTCTTTGCGGCCTTGCTTAAATGCTAGAAGGTTAAGCATAGAAACTGCGCCTTGTCCTTCTTGTTTACTGAACACTTTAATCCATTCTAATAATTGGGGAGAAAGCTCAAGAGCTTGTGCTGAGGATGCCGTGCGTGGTTTCTCCAAACTTCCTGTAAGGGGTGGTATATCTTCCGGTCGAGGATCAAGTAGGTTCTTATTTCTCGATGCGAAATCTTGGAGTAATCGTGAAGGTATGCCGGCAGTGACTTGCCATTGGTGGAGGATAAGTTTTTGTAGTGAGGGTGGGAGAATATCGGTGTTGGGCAGGATGATCAGGATATCCCAATGGATGTTACGTGCGAGAAGTGGGTCGATTGATATCGATGTTGGGAGGATGATCCAACGCACGACCCTACCGATTGTGAGTGGGGTGAGTGAAGTCTTTGAGAGGACGGAGAGGAATTGAGGAATTGTAACTGAGAGAGAAAGGAGATGGAGTGTGCAGGCTGGCATTGCTACTACGGCTGTGCGGGTAGACTAATCGTAGTTGATATATACTCGAGTATACCACGAATCTGTCTTATACAACTTGAATCTTAAGAATGATGTTGTGTAGCGGAAACAAACGGTGCAGTGCTAGGAGTTAGATGCCCCTCCCTCAGGGGTAAAGGCTATCTATCTAGTTATCAACAACAAAACAGAGCTTCCAATTGGTTGAAGCTTAAGATGGAGCCGAGGTACAACCCCTTCATCTTCAACAATCAACAAAAATCGAACTTTATTCAACATCAACTCATCTAATTCGAACTTAGACTTTCCCTTGTTATAATTATGGTATCAAGTCCAGTTCACGCTGCATACAACAATCATTATTTGTGTGTAGAGTTATATGGCATGGGTGAAATAGTTTCTAATTTTACTTGGAGCTAATCGCGGGTATCACTATGCCAACGAACCAGAAAATTCATAAATCAATAAAGATCATATTTGGGGTCTGGATCTCGTGTATATCATCAAAACGGGGGGGGCCTGCTATTTAGTTTAGTCGCACTAACTAAACTATTTCATGCAGATGTTTTGGATAATCTGCTGTTCAACCCGGACATCACATTCAAACAGCTATACCTACTCCATATATTTCGAATTGAGCTTTGATTGGAAAGAAGAGTTCGAGGAGAATCGGTGTTGAGCTGTGCTCTCCACTCTCCACTCTCATTTTGAGATTTTCTTATTCTCAACGGACGACAAGATAATGTGATCAACATCGACCATCAATCAAGCCCAGCCTCTGCCAGCATATAAATTAATTTTACCCCTCATTTTCATAATCAAGATGAGGACAAAAATATTCTCCGTCCTTTGGAGATTGTTAGTTTTCATAGCTATCGCCGATGCGCAGATATTACCGTATAATCCTACCACGATTCTTCTTCCATCGACCTCAAGCCAAATTGATGATATTGCATTTATTTTTCTCGTTGCCTCCGAATCAGATACTCGACCCGAATTTCTGTTCCTTAATATATCTTCTACTCTATCCGCTTCGAATCTCACATTAGAGCCCTTTGCACCCAATCTATCGTTCCTTGATAACAGCACCGCATTTATACCCACTATTGGGACGTACGGTGACATCTCATTGCTCACTGGTTCTTGTTCAACATCTGCTAGCACCGAGATATGGACTTATACACCCGGAATCAAGACTGCTGGAAATGGGACTTGGGCGCAACAGACAACAACTGTTGCGAGTGATGTCTCCTCTGCAGGTATCGCAGGTGCGGAATATCTCTCTGGTGGATTCCAGTTCTCCACGTTGGTCAATGCAAATGCTACATATACAGATATCTATATATATGGTGGCATGTGTCCCAGTTCTTCTGCAAATACATCGACATGGCAATCAGACGCTGAATATTCGAATCACATGATTAAATTATCACCTGGATCGGCAGATTCATACAACATGGATTTGGCTGCTAATAGAGGAGCCCCCGTCGCTGAAGCGGGATTTACTGCTACTGCCCTGACACCAGCTTACTCGAATACGTCTGGGATCATGACACAGGCACAAAACTTAATACTTCTTGGTGGGCATACCAAAGGCGCATTTATAAACATGAGCCAGGTCGCCATCTGGAGTTTGCCAGAGGAGAGTTGGGGCTTTGTTACAGTCAATCCACCATCTTCAACAGAAGATTCCAATACAGAATTGACAGTCAAAAGTTCGGTTACCGGCGTCGATAGTCGATCGGGCCACACGGCAGTATTAACAGAAGACGGATCTAAAGTCATCATTCTCGGCGGATGGGTTGGAAACATTAATCAAGCCGCCGGACCGCAACTGGCCATATTGGAGCTTGGTACCGGATATGGAGGAGCAGGGAATTGGAAATGGTCAGTACCGACTGATCAGCCATCTGGAGATGGTTTCTATGGGCATGGTGCAGCAATGCTTCCTGGAAATGTTATGATGGTACTGGGCGGGTTTAACATTACAGCTTCCAGTAATACAAAAAGAGCTCTCGACACCCCTGTGCAGCCCATGTTTTATAATGCTACCAGCTCAACTTGGACATCGAATTACACGAATCCAGCATATGTCGCAGCTGCTTCTCGTAGCAGTGCTTCTTCGTCTTCAATCTCCTCAAAGGTTGGTCTTGGCGTAGGACTTGGAATAGGAATTGCTGCACTTATTGCTGTCATTGTAGGAGTAGGCTGGTGTTTGATACGCTGGAGGAGGAGACGCAGAGAAAGGAGGCATGAAGCTAGGGATAGAGGCCTTCGATCTCTCAGTTATAACGCGGCCACTGCATATTCAGCTCCGCAAGAGATGTCTCAGGCTCCCGGTTACTCTAATCGTCAAGAACAGTATTATGATTCAGGAAGTGCAGTGACGGGATACGAAAGCCTCCATACTGGTGAATACGGTATTGGAGAGACTAGTTCTCCTACTCTCCAAACTCGACAAATGCCGAGGAAACCAATGCGAAATGTTCGAGGTCTTTACCAGCCTGCGTCGACCTTCGACCCGAGCGCAGCGGCGGGGCATGTCAGAGCAACTAGTCTCGGTACAGCTGGGCGGATACATCCCATATACGAAGCAGATGAAGATGCTGATGTAGTCTCCCCTATTGATGTAGGAGTTGCTCTTCCATTTGGCGAGAAGCGACGATCTGATCCTTTCAAAGATCCAGTCCCTCAGAACCACAATTTCTCGACGTCTGCGCAACGAAACAACCGCAGTGCCACTACACCTCTTTCTGATTCCCCTGCTCAAGAAAGAGAACGTGAGATCGAAGCATGGGTTGCAGATTGGGCGGCTGCGGATGCTCTCCTTCACGCGCAGGCCAAATCTCACTCGACTGTTGGTAGAACTTCTCCTTCCCGCCGCGCAAATTTGATCACGGCGACTGGTCCAGCCTCTATTTCTGGAGAAATTTCGGAAGATAGTGGTCGTACAGCTAGCAATCTTAGTGAACGAAGCATGGCCCCGTCAGTTGCTACACTGAGCCGTTCGGGATCTGGTTCTCAAGGCACCAGATCAAACTCACTTCGAGGCTATATAACACATGCCATGAATACGATCACTTCAGGGAATGCAGCTCTGAGTCCAATGCCTGACAGCCCTGTGGCAACGAATGCTCAAATTTACCCTCCTGGAAGTTCTGGTAGCGAAAATACCACTTCGACTTTCAATACCGCACATACACATTCAAGTTTCCCAACCCTACAGGCCGAAGGAGTAACCTTACTCCCACGTCCAGAGCAATTTACAGATCGAGGCCCCCCCTCACCTACCGTGTCCCCATCTATGTCGCCTCCAAGAACACCCACTAAAACGACGACGGACAATTACATCGGGAGCCCATCGAAGAACAAACCTAATGGTATCGGTAGACGTGGATGGCTGGGAAGTTTACGTCGGGTTTTCAGTCCTGAAGGTGAAACTGCTGTTGAATCTAATCTCACAGATCGAGAGCCAAGCCCTCTTCTAATCGGTCTTGACAAACCTCCAAGAAGAACAGTGAGTGCTGGCGCGGCCTTGTGGAGGAGGAAACAGGGTAGAGGGGATTGGGAGGATAGCGAAAAGCTCGGTGTCAAGCGTGGAAGATCCAATTCCCTCATGAACAATGACCGGCCCACTATCCAAGATGTAAGGGCTGGTGAAGGCAGAGGACTAGTGAATGCAATTGACGAAGATGACGATGAATGGGACATCGAAAGAGCAATCGAGGATCGAGTAGTCCAAGTCATGTTTACTGTACCAAAAGAGAGATTACGCGTCGTCAATCATGATGTACGTGAGGATATGAGCATCAGCGAAGGAGGAAGTATAGGAGGAAGAAGCAGAGTAGCAAGTGCAAGCGGAACTCTCAGTCGACACGCAAGCGATCTTTTAAACAGAGATGATCATAGGAATATAGCCAGAAAGGAAAGTTTTGAAAGTGGAGCAAGTAAGGGTCGGGTTAAAGGTAAGGGAAAGGTCTCGGATTTGGTCGAAATGATGGAGGGTCGTGGTAGTCCTGAGCGTCGATGAGTTGGTTGCATGATTGCTACTTACTGTACTGGTATTACTCGTAGATGTGTTTGCTACGATTGGTGCTTGATGCTTGATGCTTGATGCTTGATGGGGTTTTTGGAGGAAGATTTTGTGACTTTTTTTTTGGATATTTAGCGGCATTTGGTATGAGATAATGGAATGGATGGATGGATGGATCGTGTTGATTCTTAGGGGTTAGGTATTAGATATATATTTCTCTTGGAATTAGGAGGGATATATGTTTGGCAATCTGGAATGGGATAATATAATATAAAATTGACGACTATATTATATTCACACCAGAAAAGACTTGAAGAAGTTAGAGTTGCAGAATCCATTCAAATTTTAATACATCTACAGTATGTATATATACTCATTATTTAATCAATAACTTGAGATTATACCCTAGTATACCTAGTTTCTATATTTTTCTTTATTTGGTTGCTAGTAGAAGGAAAGTATGGAATCTGTGGTTTATTTTCCTATTACTGAGTAGAGTATAATTTGGGTTTGCTTGGTTTTGGTTTGCTTGGATTGGGTCGGATTGGGTTGGGATGGGCTGATAGGTAGTGTGCTTTTGTGGTTTATGGGGAGGGATGGGGAGAAATGGATGGGAAGGGATGGGTTATTAGTGATGTGATGTGTTGGGTTGGATTGGATTGTAAAGTAGAAAATACCTATTCGAGGTGCAAGTACTGTATGTAGTATTATAGTCCATTCCGTATGGGTAGGCTAGAACTAGAACTAGGATTATAGAAAAGACTCGGTATAGCCGTATCCTCTGCTACAAGTATATCGGTATTAATTATAACTATACAGCATCGGTTTCATTTTATGAACGAACCAATCTCGATCTATCGAATTGAGTTCCTTCTCAAGAGTATAGATAGTTGTTCTTGCTCTAGATGAAATGGACATAATTAGGCTATTACAGCCAATCATATCACAGGAACGGAAAGCTATGGGAATAGAGGGTTAGGCTTGGTTCAACTTAGAATTACTTAACTAACTACTCGAGTAGTAAAAGAGAAAGAGAAGGAATGGTAGGCCAGGCCTAGAATGGGCCAATAACCTCGATCTTGAATCCTTACCTAAACTGATATTCAAGCATTGAGCCCCTACCTGGCCCATCTTATTCCTGCAAGTAATCTTCAACCGATTACAGTATATCAAATGCTCGTTTCTGTTTTTTCTTTTTTTCTTTTTTTAAAAAGGGGGAGGGGGAGGGGGTCGAATCTGTGGACGGGATTGGCATTGTATTGTATAATATAATGTAGTTGTAAGAAATATGTTTAGTTTAAGGAGTTCTACACAGGGCTTTAGATTTGCTGGGGTAGGTTGTGTTCTTCAATTTAGCCAATAAGGTTACGGTGCCTGCATATGAACGGCGATTCCTTGATAGGCACGTGCTAATTAAGGTCTTCAAGCTCCCTATAACCATCCCTTCTCCAGATTCACAGAGCTTCTTTCATCTTTCATCTTTTAAATCAAACTAATCAAACCAAACTAGTTCACCGCTCAGCGTGTAAGTTACACGCGGACTCCATCGCAGTCTTCTCGGTCGGTTCTTCAAATGGAGAGTTCGGGGATGCAGCTTCTTTTGTCTGTCGTTTCTTTTTGTCGATTTGTTTATTTATTTATCGACATGGCATGGTATGGTATGGTATGGTATAGTGAATTCCCTCCGCAAGTGCGGGGAGAATGTATGAAGAACCGAATTTGCAGAGGTTTATGGGGTTAGGTGGATTCGTGGGTGCTTATTTATGTTGATTTGTTATTATGCTTTGTGCTTGGTTTTGGGTGAAGGAGTTGTGTAGGTCTGATTAGATGTTTGTTTTTGAGATAGGTTTCTAGATGGGCTGCTGTGGTCTGGGTTTGGTTGGGTTGGGTTGAGTTGAGTTGAGTTGTGGTGCTGATGTTGATGTTGATGGTTGTGGTGGATGTCTAGGGGAATATATGTGAGTAGACGGGCTTGGTTTGTGGGATCTTGGAGGTCTTGATGAGTGTAGTTTCTTCCGTCTTGGCGGATGGATTGATTTTCTATCTGTGATGGAGATATTGGGAATTGGACGAGGTAGGGGAGGTTGTTTTCTTTTGCTTTTGCGTGTTTTGAGCTGGTGCTGCATTTGTGGTTCACAGCTAATGCTATCTGTATTCTGTTTTCATGCAACTTTTATATCGGTTGATGAGACTGCGATGTTCTTCATCTATTCATCAGGTACTTTTTTATAGTGGATCTGGGATTCCAGTGTTGAGTATTCATCCGTAATTAGTTTGTTCAATAACTTACATACATACATATGTTATATTTGTTGTATTCGATCATGGTTTGCAAATACTGTAGATATTACTGGCTTGGCACAATATAAATATTCAGTTTCAACTTCATCATATGCTCAACATAAGCTTCGGATGTTAGAATACCCATTCAGTAGGTCGTCGCCGAAGATGCTTATGTTCTTTAGTTGTATATATTCGTAACTTTCACGGGAGTCTACCACCCCCACAACAATCTGCACACCCCCTCCCCCCCTCTCATCCCCATAACCTTCAGCACCCAACCCAACCCACGCCCCCACACTCTTCAAACGCACCATAAAACCCGCAGGTGCCGTTGCCGCACTCGAGAATTGGGGTTTGGGGGCTGCACCGGCATTGTCTGCGGTGAATTATATTCGAGTACCAGTAGCGAGCCTATATGGACGGAGACGATTATGTTGGTTCCGGGCCAGGTGGTGTTGTATAAGTATGTGAATGTGGCGAGTGCGGGGAAGGCGACGTGGGAAAGTGGTCGGAATCGCGTTTTTATGGTGCCTGGAGGGTGCTTGGAGATAGGGGGAGTAGGGGGAGGGGGAGAATGGGGGGGGTTTGTGTAATTGGAGTATTACTGTACTGTTATGTTAGGTGGTTGGATTTGCGGATGCTGCATTACAATCGAGTGGCAATCTTTTGAATTATGCCAGTACTCCTTCGATTTTGTCCGGTATGATATAGCAAAATTAGATGGTAGTAATTTCAAACGTGATGGACAGCCGTCAACATTAAATCCATCCAATGATTGAGGACAAAATTCAAAAATGTGATTGATCTCTACCATTGACTTCGAGAAAGCACCTAACTTCCAAGCGACAATCTATATGGATTCGTCAATAATGTTTCAACTTCACATACTAAAGCTTGCGACAACACACTTCATGTTGAAGATGCCTAAAAGCGAGTTATGTGCGGACGACATATTTCATGACATTAGCTATGTACTGTACCTACCTAGCACCTCCAACTCTGCGCATCTACCTACCAGAACTCTCATACAAATCATACCATCAAACATAACTTCCTAAGTTCTAGGACTTCTCAAAAAACCCACCACACCTCCACACCAGCCCACCAAATCTCCCAATCGAGCTCCTTCGCTCTCCTGTTGTGCTCTCCATTCCATCACTGCATTTCTCAATTCTTCACTGCTGGCCACTTCTTCATTGTGTAATTTCAAAAATACAGCCATCCATGCTTGTACTAATTCATAGTCTCTCTTTTGTGAAAGACGAGATGTAAGTGCGTGGACGAAGTAGATCAATTCATTAGATGTGGGTGAGAGAGAGCGGATTTCAAGGTCGGCAGCTGATGGAGAGAGGGTTTTGAGATGATCTATGAATACAGTATCTGCGCTTTGTTAGTATATTGGTAGTCAAATGAAGGAAGTAGAAAAGTATGCAACTTACATTCACCCGATTCGCCGCCAGATCGGAGAGTCACTGTAAATGAGCGTTCAGATGCAATACGGTCGAGTTTCATGATTCGCGATCTTTCCGCGGCGCTGTCTGTCAACTGTTCTTCTTTTGCTGATATAGCTGCCGCAGAGTCAATGGATGGAAGGAAGAAAGGTGCCTTTTCTGGCAATTTTGGTGCTTCTGTAGGCTTATTGCGGGCTTTGATGAGATCGAGGTGAATGAGAGTTTGCCATCGACTCTTTGGTACCACACTTAGAGTCATCATATCCTTGCTTAGTTGATCTAGTGACACAGCAGGTGCAGCATCCTCAGCACTCTTGTCATCATCTTGGAATGCACCATCGAGGACGTTATGGCCTCCTTCACCAGACACAGTTGGTGCTGTGATCGAAGCGATTTCCGCCTCGGAGATATGTCGGGTGGGGACATGGGTGAAAAGAGTTTTGTTGTTCCAAAGATTAACACCTACCTGTCCTGCACATGTTGTGGCTAGGAACTCGCCTGTTCCAGAAAACGCGAGTGCAGTACATTGGGTTTCCATTCGCATCGCATCGATTAGATGACCAGTTGGAAGATCCCATACTCGGACCACGCAGTCTGTCGACGCTGCAATCACCCATCGTCCATCATTAGAAAAGCACATATCGTTAATTCCCCCCTGGCATCCCCATAATTCTCTGATGGTCTTTTTGGTCTCAATATCAACAATCCTAATAGATAAGTCATCGCACGAAACTGCAATAAGATCATTTGGTGCATGATATCTCATCGCGGTAATGGATGCCATTGGGAACCAGTCAATCTCATCAACAAGATTACCAGTTCCAAATTCCCAGAATTTGATCTTGCCATCAAGAGAGCAACTGATGATATTGCGATTAAGAGAATCAACCACCACTCCCGTAACAGCCTTTCTGTGTTTACCAAGTCCAGACTGAAAGGTCTTTTCCATCTTGGAAGAAATTGGGTTTCCACTCTCGGCTGCTTGTAGTTGCTGAATCTTTAGCTTTCTTGCCTGTGCCGGTGTAAGTTTCGAGGGGTACTGTTGTCGGTGGAGCCCAGACTGAAGATTGAACATATTAAGCCCTCCAGTCTCCGACCCAACGACGGCAAATGTGCCACATGGACTGATAGCAACGCTTCGGACATTTCCACCGTCACCAGTTTCAAATGCCCATCGTCCAGCCTTCTTTCTTCCCCAAAACCACGTTCGTGCAAATCTGTCATCTTTGTGACCAGTAACGACGCTTTCCCACCCTGTAACTCCACTTGCCGTCGCATCTGTACCCTTCTTTTGCATATTCGCCTTCTGCCAAATTGCTCCGGTTCCAGGGTGTGCGCCCATTCCACCGTCGCGGTTTAATGATGATGCTAGACATACAATCTCTGGGGCTTTGAGATCCTCAAGGGTAGTGCTAGGCTCATTTGCTAACGTGGACTGAGCTAGTATACCCATTTTTTTCGCCTTCTTTCGTATATTTCCCTGACTTAATTCGGTGCTTTGTCCGTCCTTTCGGAGACTCCATCCCCATAAACTTCGATCCTTACCAGCACTTAACAACCACTTTCCACCTGCATCTGCTCCGTCTGCATCGGTAGGTAAAAAATTGAAGGTGTGTGACTGGTGCAGCGTGCCCACTGCGCGAGTGTAAGATGCGTGGAATCGGAGAGTAGGGCGTTTCGTCAAAGATCCAAGACTTCAAAGAATTATCCAGCCCACTCGTGACTATGACAGGCTGTCCAGAAAGAAACTCAGCCTTGCTCAATCCTCCGCTAACCGTCTCGCCGGAATCAGATGGGGGATTGTGAGCACCTCGAAGTACCCCCATGACTCTACCGCCGCCGTTAAGATCCCAGAATGTCACATCCCCATTGTCTGGCCCTGCCGTTGCCATTACCCCGGGCTTTTTGCCATCCTCCCCGGCTCCGAGGTCGTCTGTCCGGAAAGAGATGGATGTTATAGTGGATTCGGATGCACCGCCGTTGAGGTGAATGATCGTCTTATCCATTCGCACGTTGTGGATTATTAGAGGTCCTTCGGAATACGCAATAGCAAGGAGGGACAAGGCCGGCGCAGGTTGCAGAGCAGTCACAGCTCCACAATTTGGACCTGGTGGTAAAAGGGTGTAGATCAGTTTTCCAGAGCTAACATTCCATATCTCAACTCCACCATCTTTTCTTCCCGCGAATATCTTGTTCAAGTATGTTGGCATATTGCATATTCCGCCAGTAAGTTCGTTTCCACCCTTCTGCGCGGCAGTAGTATACAAGGTCGTGTAATGTTCGGATGTGGAGGTCTTCCAGACTTCTATCCTGGTCGTACAGCATCCTACTATCCAAGTGCCAAAGACTAACAGTTGTTGTATCGGTTCCTTGATGTCTGCTGGGAGCGCTATCTCCTCAATCCTTTTTCCTCTCTTGAATACACAAAGACCCTGGTGGCCATCTCCTTCCTGACCTCCCCAAGCTGCGAAGACTTTGTCTTTCCATGCTATTGTAGCCGTGATATCTGCTGGCGTCTGTGGTCTAGTGAGGAAGACAAGGTTGAGTCCCCTTTTGAGGTCGTATGTCTGTAAACATCTTCCTACTGAGGTTGTGATTTGGAATGTGGTTTTGCCGAGTGGTATCGAAGTGAAGGGAACAGAGGTCGAAGATACTAGACCAATTGTCTTATAGAGGTCAGTAATACAATCTAGGATCGTAAAAATTGGAAGGACAAACCCGAAATGGGGTAAAGATTCGTGATTCTCTTAAAGTTTTCTGCGGCGCATCAAGAACATTCAATTTTTGCCTTTTGACAATTGGACCATCTTGCATAGTAGTAGCAGAAGCAGATGAAGGCATCTTAACCTTTAATTCTTAAGAAACTCTTCTTGAATATAAATGCGCTCGCCGTTTGCGCTGTCGTGTTGATAATTAAATATATATTCAAAAATAAATATTAATATTCAATATTTCTTCGAGTAACTTTTTTTTCTTTTCCCGTAATCAGAATCAGACATTAATCCCTGTAGTATGGAGCAATGGCTTTTTCCGCGCCCGCATAGGCAATGAATAAGGCGTGGGGAAGGGCCCCGGCTCCTTGTCCTGTTCAGTCCTTTTCATACTCCTAAATTCCCCAATCGTGAAAGACTGCTGCTACTACTACCCTTCCTCTGTTGTCTGTAGGCATATTGTATATTCCTTTCCCTCTCGAATATCCTCAATTATAGCTCATCATCTTTTCCTCATGGATCGTCATCTGCTACGATAAGGCCGTGAAACCTAGGAAATAAAAGATATCTATCTAGATTTCTTCACTTACCTACCCTTACTTGCTCGAGTACTTTTACTGTACTTATTTGCCAGCAATCAATACAGTATCGGACGAGATCCACATTGGTGTAGGCCATTTCTTGTTCCCTTTTGCTTCATGCCAAAGTTCTCTTCTCTTCCCACATTCATTTGAATTTGATACTCCGTTCAGGCCTTACATTTTGTACTAATCCCAGACATTGATAAAAACCACCGTGACTTATAATAATAAGTTTTCACAATCATGGCACAAGAAGGTGAGAGTTTCGTTGAGGAAACTAATGATCCTAGTACCGATAACCAGTCGGTGGGATTTTCTCCATCCAACAAATCCATTTCCATTTCCAAATCTTCAGGCCAAGACAAACAATCAACAAAGGACTCGAGCCCAAAAGTAAAAGCAAGAACAAACTCGCATAGCTTATCTTCTGCCACTGGAACTGGCATACTTGCGTCATTGAACAGAAAAGGAAAGCATGCAGAGCCATTGATACACACAGAAGTCAGTTCCGAACGAGCAAGTATTTCCATGCCACCACCTCCCACAAGACCTTTGTCAAAGTCCCGAACATCTTCAACATATAGCCAGCGATCGTCAGCCGCGTTGGAAGTTTTGAAAGAAGGTATAAATTTAGGAGGGACAAGCTATCAAGATTTTGCTGTTGAGGAAACCGAAAGTGTCAAGACAAATCCAACAATGGCAGACGATAAAAGTCACAAGTCAAATCCAGCAATTGCAGACGACAACAAGCATGTAGTGCCTCTACCACTCCCTGAACCTACTCTTCGCCCTCGAGCATCGGTTACAGAGATGGATGGGAAACGAATTTCAGTCTCATCAATGTACTCTTTAACATCGGCTAGGGCAGGCGGCGCTATAAGCTCTGCGGCATCTGCGACTGGTTCTGAGAATGGAGGAAGCACAAGAGCAACTACAGCGTCAGTCTCGTCGAGTATGGGGCCAGGAATATCTCAGGTAGAAACCTCAAATATCTCTGTTCCAACATCTTCCGGTGGACCAAGTGCACCGAATGGGCATCAGCTCACCGCGAGGGAACCACCAGCTCAAGCCGCAGAGCTAGCAAAACGCAATTCCGTTGCAAGAGGTGAGGCTCAACCACGACCTCAGCCTCCGCAAAGATCAAGGAGTCGAGCAAAGAGACGTTTCAGTGGTAGCACCGGCGCCAGCAGCCACAGCCCTAGCAGTGAGAGAGGTCTGCAGTTGAAGAAAGAAGATGAGAAAAAGCCAGCACCTTGGGGCGTGATAGGAGTATGTGCTCTAGATATAAAAGCACGAGCCAAGCCGAGTCGAAACATCTTAAATCGCCTGATTTCGAAAGGGGAATTTGAGGTTATTGTCTTTGGGGATAAAGTCATCTTGGATGAGGAGGTAGAAAATTGGCCGATCTGTGATTTCCTAATATCGTTTTACTCGGACGGATTTCCACTCGATAAAGCCATTGCATATGTGCAGGCACGAAAGCCATTCTGTGTTAACGATGTACCTATGCAGAAGATATTGTGGGATCGCAGGATCTGTTTACGAGTTCTCGACAAGATAAATGTACCTACACCGAGGCGCGTAGAAGTAAACCGGGATGGGGGTCCAGCCGTCTTTACACCGGAAATGGCAAAGCATCTGAAGGACACTACCGGTCTCACTTTAGAAGGACCCGAGGATGGAACTGGTGGCCAAATGGTGCCCCCCAAGATCGTCGAGCTTATCGACAATGGAGACACCTTGAGTGTCGATGGTGTCCTATTGGCCAAGCCATTTGTGGAAAAGCCAGTCAGTGGTGAAGATCACAATGTCTGCATATACTACCCACAAAGTCAAGGTGGAGGAGGTCGAAAGCTATTTCGAAAGATTGGCAACAAGAGTTCCGAACATGTAGAGGATCTCACTATTCCTCGAGCTATATCCGAACCTGGAAGTAGCTATCTTTATGAGAAGTTCATGCGTGTCGACAATGCAGAAGATGTGAAAGCATATACTGTTGGACCGACCTTTTGCCATGCCGAAACTCGCAAATCCCCCGTTGTTGATGGTTTGGTTAGACGCAACACTCATGGGAAAGAAATTCGTTACATCACAGCTCTCACAAAAGAAGAGTCCGCTATGGCTACTCGAATTGCTAATAGCTTTGGTCAGAGGGTGTGTGGTTTCGATCTTTTACGTGCTCAAGGAAAAAGCTACGTTATTGATGTCAATGGATGGAGTTTTGTAAAAGACAATGACGAGTATTATGAGCAGTGTGCTGGTATATTGAAAGACATGTTCGTTCGCGAGAAGCAGAGAAACACTGGGCAGTCACAGCCCGTTAGTGGTGTAACATCCCCTACCGACGGAGCCATGAGTCCTACTACTGTTCGGAAAGATTCAGGACTGAAGGACAATCATCGGTCAGCCCTACAGAATATCCTTTCCAAATCACCAAGTATGTCAAACATGCTTCATGGGCATCACCCTAATCATGGATCACATAGAGTTTCCGGTTCAAGTTCTCCCCAGTTTAGTACCTCGGCCGCCCCGACACCAAAAACTTCACCCCCTCTGGTCGTGGAACAAGAAGCCTCTGCAATACCATCAGCAGATTTGTTACCCCCGCCTGCAGTGTCTGTTCCTAGTGAAGTACCTTCCGTCGCGTCTACAGTCCCACCCACGCCCACGCCTACCCCTGGACAAGATCAACAAACACTACCACCGCCAGCACCCAAGCATACGTGGAAGTTGAAAGGTATGGTATCTGTAATTCGCCATGCTGATCGTACACCTAAGCAAAAATACAAATATACATTTCACACGAAACCTTTCATCGATCTTTTGAAAGGTCATCAAGAGGAAGTGCTTTTGATAGGTGAAGCTGCGTTGGACAGTGTTATGCTTGCTGTTGATACTGCAGCGCATGAGGGCGTTGAAGACCAAGAGAAACTCAAATCACTGAGGAATGTTTTAGTGAAGAAAGGAGGATGGGCAGGCACAAAGGTACAAATCAAGCCCATGTTCCGAAAAAGAAAATTGGAAGAATCTCTAAATTCTGAGAAACCACTTCCTGCTCGGGATGACCTTGCTGCTGTCAACCCAAGTCCTGAGCACCTGGAATCGACAAAATCACCAGGAAAATCAAAGAATGTCGCAGACCTTCAGAGAGAACCAGCCACTCGAACTGACTCGTTATCTGACGTTACTTTGTCTCGTATAACCGCAGCAGAGGAAAGACTTGTGCTAGATAAGCTTCAACTCATTGTCAAATGGGGTGGCGAGCCTACTCACTCGGCGAGATATCAAGCGCATGAGCTAGGTGAAAGCATGCGAAACGATCTTCAATTGATGAACAAGGATATTCTTGATGAAGTCCATGTATTCAGCAGCTCAGAGCGACGTGTCACAACCAGTGCTCAAATCTGGGCATCTGCTTTTACGGACCAAAAGGATTTGGCATCCGATTTCATCACCGTTCGCAAAGATTTACTTGATGATTCCAATGCAGCCAAAGATGAAATGGACAAAGTCAAGAAGAAGCTCAAGACGTTATTGCGGCAAGGAATGGAAGCACCTCCTGAGTTTGCCTGGCCAGCGGACATGCCAGAACCATCGATCGTACAGAAGTATGTTGTTCAACTGATGAAATTTCATCGGAGAGTTATGCGTAACAATTACAGCAAGCTTTATGGAGGCACCGCTACGTCACTGAATGCAATCGCAAACCCTGGAGACAAGGAGACTAAAGGAGCAAGTTCAGCTATGGGATCGGCAATGTCACAAGTAAACGCTACGAGCAGCATTCAGGCTCGTTGGTGCTGTGGTGAAGATTCTGAGCTCTTCAAGGAACGATGGGAGAAGCTTTTTAATGAGTTTTCCGATGCCGAGAAAGTCGATCCAAGCAAAATATCCGAGCTGTACGATACCATGAAGTTTGATGCCCTCCACAATCGTCAATTCCTTGAATGGGTCTTCACTCCAAGCAAAAGCATTCTCGAGGAAGAGGAAATAGAGCTTGCTTGGGAGAAGGACAGATCCAAGAATTCGGAAAATAACAAAGATGAGACTGTACCAGCGGAGAAGGCTGAAACCAATAGGACACTCCATCGACGCATGTTCAGGAGAAAGTCGGTATTGAATGGAAGGCACAGTGAGGAAGAATCGGTAAGTTGATGGGTAACATGAGGATCAAATTTAGCTAACAACTTCAGTACTTCCGACTTTTCACTGGTAGCAGCCAGACCAAGGCCAAAACTGATGTTCGATTGGAGAAATTACGAGAATTGTATAAGCTATCTAAGGTCTTATTCGATTTCATCTGCCCACAAGAATACGGTATTGCTGACAGCGAGAAACTTGAGATTGGTCTTTTGACATCACTTCCATTGCTGAAGGTAAGATTGCATAGAATTGCCAAAAGTTATTCGTCTCACAATAGTACAGGAAATCGTCCAAGATCTCGAAGAAATGCAAGCCTCAGATGACGCCAAAGCATTTGTATACTTCACCAAAGAATCCCATATCTACACACTTCTTAACTGCATCCTTGAAGGAGGCATCGAGACCAGGATAAAACGAAGTGCTATCCCCGAACTCGACTATCTTTCCCAGATATGTTTCGAGCTCTATGAATCCGAAAACAAGACTCCCCTCGATGCGCAAGATGTGGCTAAATATGCATATAGCATTCGCATTACAATTAGTCCGGGTGCTCATACTTTTGATCCATTGGATGTACAGCTCGACAGTAAACATTGTATTAGTTGTGCGCCCAGGAGAAGTTTGACGGCTCATGCGGATTGGAAATATGTTATTGATACGTTGAGGGCGAAGTTTCATCAGTATGTTCTATCCTAGTCCGATATTTTCTAGTTGACTTGGAGAATTATGAGATGAGCAAAATGCTAATTGATATCAATGAATAGAGTCAAACTCCCCAAGAGTTTCCTTGCGGTCAATCTTTCAGAATCACACACTTTTCACAAGAAAGAGGAGTTGGAACATGCGGAAGGTCATTTTACGATGACGGAGGTGTCGAATGGTGAAAATGAGAATATGAAAGAACATGGGGAGGAGACAATTGATGCAGAAGATGTTGCGGGCGTGGTCAATCAAGACATTGTCGATCCTGCTCCGGCTTCGGCTCTGACTCTGGCTCTCTCTGGGGATGATTTGGATGCCACAAAAGCCATGGCGAACCCGTCTGAACGGTCAATGGAAGATGGGAGCGAATAGAATGGGTGGAGAGACATGGCTTGCGTGCGTTAACATTAGTGTGAGTTACTTGTGGATGGTGGAGGAGCGTTATGATTAATCGTATGATACGATGTGTATTATATGACAGCGTGGTGATGGCATAGAGTAGCGAGTAGCGAGTTAAAGATTAAAGAATAGAGATTAGAGATTAGAGAATAAATTTGAATCTATATGGCTTGACTTGATATGTTTTGAACTATTTGAGGCTGGAGCGCTTGGGCTTGATGGGATCGCGGGGTCGGTGTCACCTCCGATAAGATAAAGGGGGGAAGGGGGGGTTGGGGAAATGTGATGATGCATCCATCGGTTGTGGCATTGTGGCATCGTGGTATCGTGGCGTATAGTATGTATTGGTGTGAAATTTGTGAGATTGCAGATATTGTAGGGAATGGATGATTAGATGATTAAATTAGATGAATTACTGTACCTGTACTTTACTGTGCTGTAAGGGAGAATTAAATCAGGGGAATGAGGTTTGTAGTTTGTAGTTTGTAGTTTGAGGGGGTTATGTTATTTTAGATGTACAATATAAACGTACGAGCTTTGACTTCGGCCCCTCGGTGCCGGAAAAACAATTCGCCTCGCTGCGCTCTTCGAATCGTTTTTCTAGGGCACCTCAGTTCCTACGTCGCAGCTCGTCCTCTGGAGGTATATTAAATTGATATTCTTATAGATTGGATAGTATTTTCAAATTATATGTCTTTAGATTTTATTTTATTGATTGTTTTGAGAAGTGTACTAATATTGAAGATTGAATATGATATTGCACGTGAATTTTCAAAAAAATGTTCGTTGTCGTGCACTGACCATACGTATTTTAAGAGTGTTTTATAATATGAAAGGTTAGATAGTGGCAGTGTAAACGTGGGAGTGTAAATGTGTGGATGATGTGGATGATGTACAGTATGATATGTTCGTAGTTACATACTTGCTTTTTCGACAAGAAGCATGGATAGGATTAGATTAGAGATTAGATGTGGAATCTCCCGATTGGGAGGTTCGTCGGCTGTTTGAGTTGCTTGAGTAGGTACTAGGTACTAGGTAGGGGAAATGTAGGAGGGATGGAGGGATGGAGAAAGTTCACTTTATTTTGCTTTTTGTATTTTGCATTATCGAGAGCGGTACTGTATACTGTAGTATTGAAAAAAGGAATGTTTTTGGGGGGGGTTTGGGATTGAAAGAGTCCTCAATCAAATGGACCAGACGGGGAAGATCTATTTGCTTGAAATTGTCTAGCTCTTAATTGGCGGACCCAGATTGGGAGTGAGATTGGGAGTTGTGAAAAGTAGATTTAGAGTTAGCATGGGAATAAGAAGAGACGAGACTTATTAAACGGCGACTACCAACATCTAGAATATTGTGTCAGATTGTCGAGTTTGGGAAACTGATAGATTTCAGATGGGTTAGTGGGATCTATTGAATTGCTATGTGAAATGGAATGAATGGATTATATTATAATTGTGATTCGATTTGTTCTAGAATTTCTATTGCGGTTGGTAGTTAGTTGTTGGTTGTCAATATCACTATTTACTTGTACTTGTACTTGACAGTAATCATCAACACAGCCAGCTTACCTAAACACCACCTTGTGAAAAATATAAAAGTCCTTTCACACTCCATACATCCATCCATCCATCCAACCGCCCAAGTGGCGTGATAAGGTAATCAGCCAGGCACGCGAACGGGAAGGGGGAAATGACCAAGGTTACAAGCCGGACGGGATCGGTTTATCGGGGAATGTTTGCGATGCTCGCCAGCGACGAGATGGATGCACCTGCGTTTCATGCTGACGCCTTGGCTGCCAATACTGTACATACAATTCATTACAATGTATGTACATCGCACATGTATGCCGGAGGGAAGTTTAGTTCGGCCGCTCTGATGGCGACGGGGGTGCTGAGGGGTGCGGGCCGGATATTGGGAGGGAGCGGGTCGGTTATATTGTGATCGGATGGATAGATGTATGGATGGATGGGTGATGGGATAGTGTTTGTGATACATTGTATATACTTGGTACATATCAAGGTACTTCTCGTATTCTTTGTAAGATTGATTAACTATTTCGATCCTAGTTTTTTTTTCTTTTCCTCTTAAGCGCTGTAGGCAGTGCAAGTGCAGTAGAAGAAAATATATATCAAACCATACCAGTACATTAGTATGAGTGAGTCCTCTAATCTAGATTCCCATCTGTTGGTGGCTGAATTGTATGTGCAGCTGAGCTTCTGGATGCTGTAAGATACGGTTTCGGGGTCTTCTTTTCAATCTTGGGATTGAAGGACATATGTATTACCTAAGTAAGACCGTTCTTTTTTGAAAATTGGGTTCTGGTCCATAGAGAGAGATGTGCCGAAAACCAAGATCTCGGGACGGGACGTTTCTCATTTTGTCGTCATTTGTATTGGTACATATATATATACGTGTTGCATGATATCCATTGGTGGCGTCTGAGATGTATTTTTGACATTTTCTTCAATGGTCAATGAGTGCATTTTAGGCATTGATTTTTAGACGAAATCTGTCGGTAGTTGGCGCAGTTGAATTTTTTTAGGGAATATTAGCTGAATAGTCAAATATATCTAACTAATTGTATGGAAGCAGAAATGTTATAGATCTGGTATCATCTAGACTAAAGTGTACCAAAACATAAGCCTAATTGAATGATACAAGACATAGTAGATGATTGAATAAATCACTAAAGTGATTTTATATACACTTTTACTTCGGCACCGATAATATTGGGGTTTAAATTAGGCTTAGCTTAGTGTAGTTAGACGGTAGCCGTGGCTAATGAATACCGGTGGTTGGCGAATGAGGTTGAGTTTGTTAAGTAATATGACCCCCATGTTTGTGCCTAGTGTTTACAGAGCATAAGAGACCCAAAGGTCTAGAAGCCATATATCAAAGTTGTTAAGATCATGCAAGTTGGGTTAGACAAGTGGGCTGGAAAAATCCCCGTACGACATGTTGTTTCTAGAAACGGTTTTCAGCGTGGCTTCGTGTGTGATGGAAGGTTTCTGAAAGTGGATTGGTCGGTGGCTAAATTGATTGATAATATATTGGTGATACAACTAATGCTCGAAGGGTTGGTGAAACAAGAAGTTGCGGGGTTGTTCGATGAAACGGATATATGTAGACAGAAAGTACTTTATAATTAGAAATGGATGGAGGGGAGATGAAGGTAGATGGAGTGGGGAATCATGGTAGGAAGCATTTAGGTTTTTAAACGGATAGCAGGTCAAGTGAAGCGTTTGATGCGTGCGTATACTTTGTACCGATATAGATGAAAATTGGAAAGGTTGAAGAAACTAGAAATGAAATGATACATGCTTGGTTTTGCGCTTTACAATTCGTAAGACAGCATCTTGGTATAACTTGTAACAAGGGTTGAATGATTACAGATGAAGGACCTCTCTGGAAATTAAAGTGGTGAAGTTCGAATTCATTACCAACTTCGAAATACTAATCAGTAACCGTTATATCCCAAAGTAACAAATAATAAAGTACACCCAACGTAGAGGGGTAAGTCGATCACCGAAGAGTGGAGGTTACTGAATTGAAGCCATGTGGCTACTATCCTCTCGGAGATTTTAGATGTGAGACAATGGCCCTGAATTTGTGATGTGAAGTGCCGCAATATGATTGATGGATACTGAGCGGTGAAGATAATGAGGCGATGACGTTCTATCTTATCTATCATAAATTCATAATGATTGTTTGCTGAGAAGAAAGATCGGTGAGCAGGTACCGGGCATATCGTTGGGATTTCAGAAGACACATAAGAGGGAGGATATCAGAGCTCGAGTAGAACCAGTAGTAGCAGAGCATATATACCTGGCGATCGATCTGGCGACTAATTGATCTTCTAACGTGTCTTAGTTGTAAGATGAGACACGATGTGAATGAATTTCGATCGTCGCCCAGAGCCCTTCCAAACATCAGGAGTTAGGGCATATAGAATGCAGGACATCCAAGTCGATGATTGATTTTTTTTAGTTTGGTGATGAACTCTCTTCTCATGTGTATGCGCACGAATTGGATTGTGGATACAGACTGAATTGGCACGGAACATGGATCTTGATACAATCAACTCAAAATCCATGGTGTCCCAAAGAAGTGATGTGCATCGGACATTTGATTATTGGCGTGCTTGGGGGAGAATTAGTAAATACTTCTTTGGGAATCATGCATTAGCGAAATATACAGTGATGGGTTGTGACGAAACGCTCGACGACCGAGTATGGGTGGCATGGTTGTCAACGAATGGAGTTCAAGGGAATGTGATAATGATCCTTTTGGGAAAATGCTGCATGTGAATAGAGGCGTAAAGTGTACTCAACGCCTAGATATCGTCTAAACGGCAACAAGAGAGATGATCTGATAACTTTACGAGTTTCGAGTAAGTTATCTTTGATATACGAGTAATGTTCTTCTTCATTGGGGGGATAATAAGATGTATGAGCTGAGAGAGAGAGATAGTCTCCTACTAGGATGACTAGGTAGGAATATCACATCACCCGTCCAAATTTAAGTACTCATCATACTCAGGTCTCATCACAAGAACGAGAGCATCACAATAAGCTTCAAAGTAATCCTCCCGTTGCCCCTTTCAAATCGGCAGTTCAAAATCTCACATCCAGTCTCCGCGGTCACTGTCTCGAAGTATGACAGCATGAAGCACAAAAATCCTCGAGGCTTTGGTTGCTTTTGCTTAGGATCTCGTGAACGGCGATCTACGAAAAGAAGGCCAGCTTTTATTGAATAATGTGTCTGGTCAAAAAGAGAAATAGCTTGAGTTGTGATATGATTAGCTAGAATAGAGTAATAACTAATGAAAATTGATGTGGATGTTGTGTAATCCAAGGTTTCAAGGCAAACAAGGCGTGGAAAATGACAAGAGCTTTCGTCTCTTTTTGACCCTGCGCACCTCTTAATTTTTCAAGCATTCAAATTAGACACTATATGATCGAAACATTTCGCCC